TCCCGTCCCGTCCCGTCCCGTCCCGTCCCGTCCCGTCCCGTCCCGTCAGCACTCACCGCACGGCGCGGGCCGAGCAGCTCCCGCGGGGCGCGGGCTCAGCTCCTCGCCATGGCCGCTGCCCGCCGCCTCTGGGGGGCGCGGCCCTCAGCACCGCCCCCTCCTCCGCCCCCTCAGGCGCCGCCGGCCCGGCCCGCGCGCGGGGCGCTGAGGGGAGCGGCGTAAGGCGCTGCCGTGGGCGGGAGTAATTCTCGACGCCCAGCCCGAGGCCGCCGCATTCGGTCCACTTCGGCCCCGTGCGGCTCTCGGGACCCGACGTGTTCCCGTTGTGGGGCGGCCATAAAGATGAAACCTCGTAATAAAGGCTATAAAAATGCTCCAGGCTGACGGTGCGGGTGGGAAGGGCTGCAGGGAGCCCGCAGCTTCCCTGTGGAAACTTTCCAGACACAGCGCTGGGAACGGGGGGCTGACAGCACAACGGGGCAGCCCAACACTGGCAGGATCAAACCGGGACCGGTGGCGTTGTGGAATCGTTACGGTTAGAAACACCTCGCCTAAGCAGCCCGCACACGAACACCTCCATGCTCGCTGCTGCGTCCCACCGGGCAGCCCGTCCCGGTGCCCGACCGCCCTTCCGGAGAAGCTTTTCCTGACGCCCTGATCTCATCCCACGTCTCAGTTCCTTAAAACGCGAAGTGGTTTCCACACAACGTGTCAGGCCCGGGGCAGCCAATGCAGCAGCGGGGCTCTGCTGACACCTGGCGTCCTGCGCTCCCGCTAAGCAGCCACAATCGGGGCTGACGGATGGCGGCATCGGGAATTTGGGGATGAAGCCGAAGCTGCAGGGGGTCGAGGCGCCCTCTCAGGCTCTATTTAATGTCTGAAGCCCAGAGCAGCGCTGTACCGATAGCACATCTCACATCCCAACACCAGGAGTCAGGGGACTGCAGCTCCCAGCCTTCGTTTATTTTCTCATCTTTTTAACACATCCACCACTGCATCTGATCTCAGGGCAAAGGCAGCCCCCCCCAGAGCCAAAGAACAACAGTGACTCGAAAAGTAAAGCACTCATCCAAAGTGGCATTCCCAATTACCCGATGTCAAGTTTTTGCCATTGAAATAAGGAGGAAAAACAGCACACGCCAGTAAGTGAGGAAAAGAATCATAGAATCATAGAATCACCAAGGTTGGAAAAGACCTAAAAGATCACCCAGTCCAACCGTTCACCTATTCCCAATAGGTCCTGCTAAACCATGTCCCTCAACACAACATCTAGCCTTTCCTTGAACAGAAATCATCACAACACCTGAACAAAGTGAAATCTTGGAGTGCATCAGGGAGGCGGCCCAGAAGAGCACAGCTCTTATGGTGGCTGCTGCAAAACTGCTGTGCTGGGGTGTGCTGCGTGCCAGCACACTGCTTCCCTTCTTCCCACCCAGCAAACATCGTTATTTATGAGACACAGCACTAAAACAACGATGAAAATGCAGGAAATACAGCTCACAGTCTGGACTGGAATGAGCTCTTACTGAGCACTCTGCCCACCCTCTGTGTTTCCCCAGGTTCTGGGAGCCCAGGGGCAGGAGGAGCCTGTGTGCTGGGAAGCTGTAGGGAAGCAGTGGCACCACAGCACTCGTGTGCCACGCTGTTCCTCCAGCAGACACTAGAAAGCTTTGCATCTGCAACCTAGACCTGAAAACCCAAAGTGAAGAGAAATGCCATATTTGGTGAAGTTTATCCTTAAAATCCAGTGTTTAAATCTCAGAGACTTGATTACTTTAACGAGTTACGGTCTACTAAGAAATTTCACTAACATTTTTCTTGTGGCTTTGTCAGAGTATAGCTATAGACCTGATGCTGACCCTAAAACAAGGCCGGCAGCTCCTCCAGGAGGAACAGACGTCAGCTGGTCCCCAACCCAGGGCCCAGAGCTTCCGCCTCGCTCCCACTCCTGCCCTGCCCAAATCACAGCACTTTGCTCTTTCCAGGCAAACGCTGCTGTAAACAAAATTCCATGAGCTCACCACAAGGATTAAATATTTACAGCACAAACGCATAAGGAAAACATTATAACACAAGTTAATAAATAATGAGGACGACATAGCAGCAACGCAAGCCGTCGTTCCACGCAGACAAGGGGCAGTCATGGTTGGTCTCAGCAGTACATCAAACTCAGTGCTTGGGATCTTCTCCCTTTGGTCTTCACGGGTCCAGCAGCAGCACAGCCAGGCTTTGGGATTCAGTAGTAGAGGCCTGAAGGATCCTTTCTGCAGGCCACACTGCAGCATGTCAAGTGAAATCATTCCTCACTTCACCTCAAAGACACAGTGCAATTGGTCATCCAAAACCCCACCGAAATTCTGGAAAGCAGGCATATCCTCTCACACAGAGCAGTCGCAGTTCTCTTACAAACTGTCCTTCAGCCTCAGTACTTTAGTTTTCTCACTGAAATACAAGGCAGTATCAGCCTTTCCATGTAATCGCCTTGCAAATACAGATCACTGTCCAACAACCATTGCTGGACAACCATTGATCCATCATTTGTACTGCAATAACACGAAGGCTTTACCAGGAAACAGAAGCAATTCTGCAGGAGGAAGAGCCTGCTATGAAGCAAGAAACAACCTATATTGCAGTCCTTAGAGGTATCTCACAAAGAGCTATACACAATTTTCAAGCAGCTTGTTCCAGTGCGTTTGTAACTGTGTCAACAGTTTACAGTTCTATTAAAAAAAAAAATAATTACATCCTCTCCTGGAGGATGTTCATCCTTTGATTGGAACATCCTGTAGGTGTTGCAATCTTGATTAAGGATAATGAAGTATTCTGCTGGTTTTCTGGAAGTGTGATCAGATGCATCTCATCATCCCAAAGCTAGCTGAAGAGTTGGTACACCGAGAATGCTGCCTGCTCAGCAGCAGCTCTTCAGTCTTCTGGTTTGCATAAAAGCTCACCATAAACAAAACACACGTAAGTGCTCACATTTTGTCCAGTGCAGTGAAGGAAGACATAATTACAGTTTTAACTGGAGGAACTTTGGTTTCCTGGGTTCTTCAGGATCCCTTTTAGTGCAATTCTTGAGGTCAACGAGAAACAGAGAGCAATTTCAATCAGGTGAGGGCTGTCCTCCGCTAACAGAAGGAGAAGCACAGCCTTGGGTCTTGACTTGTCAAACTTTCAGCGAGGCCCTTGGGCACTGGATTGTCCCACAGCCTGCAACAACAGCAAACACATAAATGTAGGACTTGGCATGGTGGGCCAGAGGCAGCACACACCCAACACAGCAGTTAACTGGAAGAAGCAGCTTTGGATTTTTATAAAAGCTGGTCCAAAAGTGAGACAGGAGCAAAGCAGTCATGTCTCAGCAACACAGCAGCAATTCAGCAGCTGCCTGCCTGCTAAAATGGACTCACTGATCTAGGCTGGGAGAGGTTAAGGTTTTGAAATGTCCTCAAGCCAGGACTTCCTTTTGTTCCAGGACTTTCTCTGGCCTGGCAAACCCTCAGTTTCCTTGGCTTGTGTCTGGATGCCCTGCAGCATTCTAGTCCATGCAAGCCAACCTGGAGCAGCAGGCCAGCACAAGACACATCTCTCCCAGGACTGGTCACCCCAGCTTCCCCTAAGCGGGCCAACACTCAGCCTCAGCCCTCAGTGACACCCACTCACCTTATGAACTGAATTTCTGGGCACCTGACAAGTTCCTCTGCCAGCTTTGTAGCACCACAGGCACCAATGCGATTTTTCTCCAGGCTGTTTTTAAAAACGAAAAGAGTTTTAAAAAGCAAAACCGAATCAAGAGCAGAAAACAGCAGAACCATCGCTGCCTCTTTTCTCTTGAAAAGCTATTCTTTTTCACAAGCACAGCAATGTTCCACAATGGACAGCAGCCTCGTCTTGATGACCACAGCCCTATTTATACACAAAACATGCACTGTTGCCCACAACCTCCTTCTAGCAATAGGACTTGTAAGCTCTACTGCATATTTTCCCCGCTCAAGACAAACAAAACTCAGTTCCTGATCCCGTGAACCACAAACTATTATTTCTGTACAGCTGAGGGATGGAAGGCACACGCCATATGTTCCAAAGGGCCACGGGGAGGGAAGCAGATGATGCTCCCTACAATGGAGTAGCGCTGCACTGTGATGCCACTGGATCAGAGCTGAGTGGGTAACATCAAACCCAGATCCAGCACAGGAGCAGCATCAGTGCTTCCTGTATTCTCCTGTGGCCCAAGACCCACAGTCTGGCCACTACAGCCTGGGTTATGCATTTCTTGCCCTGACACAGGCTGTATGAGAAGGGTACTCGTCTAGACCACCCCAGGCACCAAAGAGAAGTGACAGACTGCAAGCAGCAGCTCACCTGAGGCCGTTAGATGATATGATTCACACTCAAGGAATATCACTTTGTCTTTCCTGACTCCAACAGGAAGCATAGGCGGGATAGTTCTTGCTTAAATACCCACAGCAAACACCTCCAGTTAAATAAGTCTGCCTCAGCACCTCTGTGCTCTGTGCCAAGCAAAGCTGGCCTTTGGCAGCAGGCTACATAAGCATTTGGAGAGCAGCAGTCTGTCTGCTGCTCCTAGCATTCATCCCACAGAAGTACTGCAGCTGAAGGCTCAGTGCCACAAATACAAGTCTTCTGGTGCCACTCTCAGGGCTGTACTCACTCTAACACCTTCAGCTTTTCCATCCCTGGGAGGATGCTGGCCAACGCTTGGGCTCCTCCATCACCAAGGGCGTTCCAAGACAATCTAAGACAGACAAGAGATCCCAGGCTGTGAGTCAGCCAAGCCCAACCGAGGGCGGTAAGTTCTGGCTTTGACTTAATGCCTGAGATACCTGTGATCTCCATTCCCACCCGTTCCCACACTCACATTATCTCCTCCATGGCAGGGCACTGTTGGAAGCCACGAGAGAGTAATTTTGAAGCATCATCAGTGATTCCACAGAGTTTCAACCTGGAGCAGAGGAAAGAGGGGGAAAAAAATAGAGAGGGTGCAATGTGGTGGCATTGGAGCTGGTGGGAATCTGGCCCCAGCACCATCTGCTGCAATGCTACAAAGCCACGCTCTGCCCAAGCAGTTCAGCACCCTGGTACTCACTCAATCTTCCGGAGGTACTCAAAATGCAGCAGTCCCTCAGACAGGGCACGGATGCTTCCTTCCCCAAGGCCATTTTCAGATAAACTGTAAGAACAGTAGGAAACTGGAGTAAAGACATTATACCAGAGTTAGCAACCGGTGGAAGGATTGCCTTCCATGAGGCCACCCTGAGCAGGGACGGAGCCTAGATGCAGCCCCATTTCAGTTGTGGGCTGAAATGCCTCCCACTTGCAGAGCAATACCAGTCCATATGCTTGGCAGCAGCCCCAGTGCTCCTGCCACAACCTACCTTATCTCTTCTAACAGTCCACATGCCACCAGGGCTCTGGCCAGCTCCGTTCCTCCTGCTGGCCCGATGTTATTGTGCTGCAAGCTAGCCAAAGAAACACAAGTATTGGAGGATTCTTTTAGAATAAAGCTGCAATAAAAGCTTACATATAACTTGCCAAGAAGAAAGCTGAAGCATCTTCTGAATCAGTGTCTCATGCTGATTGGTGTTCCTGCTGCTGCCAGGGATACCTGGCCCTCAGGACAAGCAGCTCACTGGTTTTGCCCGTGCTCAGAACAAAGGAGCACAATTAGCCAGCTGTGCAAAAGCAAATGCTGCATGGCACCACTGGGAGCCTCCAGCTCTGCGCCCACGGGATCAGTTTGAGATGGTGAGGAACAGCATGAGGAACAAAAGTGGATGGGCCTCAAGCCTGCAGATTTCCTGACACCGTCCCAGTGAAAACAAGAAGCTACCCAGAGGATTGAAGCCTCTCATCACTGGGATTGCTTCTCTAAGTTGTGTTTTGATGATACTTTAGACAGGATGGAAAACATATGGCTCTGCTAACTGAGCCCAGTGACCTCTTTTAGCTCATGGAATTCTTGCTTCGCTGCTGCAGTGTAGCAGGAGGAAGTCCAACATGTTGGAGCTCTAGAAAGACTCCAATATATGGTTTAAAAATGTAACACCACTGAGTTCAGCACGAAAAATGACTGCAAGGTACCTGTACAGAATAGTGGAGGGCCACAAAAGCTGTTCGTATTTATCTTTACATTACATCAGAATAGGAAGATAGATGTGGTCTGTCATTTTATGTCAGCAGGTCACAATCAATTAAAAGGGCTGCTTTGCTGAGAATACAATGTGTGGTTCATCTCTAAAATGAACACTGCAAGGGATTACACAAGAACAGCTGATGTGACACCAGTGGTGGAACGACTTCAGATAAGAAATAATGCTGTCAGTGTTTGATGCAGCAGGGTAACTGAAGAGGGTCCCTCGATCCTGAGCCCCTTAGGAGCTCGGTGCACCACTTCAGTCTATGCCTTGTTTCATTTTCAGTGCCTTCTTTTGGCCGTCCAGCTAATTCCCAGGCTGACACTTACTGCAGGATCCTCAGCCTGCTCATGCGAGGCAGACAGAGGGCAAGTTTCACCGCTGTCCCATCTCCAAAAGCATTCCTTGATAGTCTGGAGGGGGCAGAAATGAAATGTTACTGAATGCAGTGAACTACAGAGCCTCATTCCTCAACTGTGTGTCATCCACACAACTCTGTGACCTCCATTCCTCATGTGCATGGGGCTGTGCTGAAAGGAGCTGGGGGTGGGCAGAAATAACAACGAGTCTGAAATCCTGCAGCAGAAGTAAAGGAGTGACGTAAAACCCACGACATTCACACAGAGGTGATGCCTCTGGCCATCACCTTAATGCTATGAGGGTCAGCCACAAAACAGAGCAAGTAACTCAGATTTGCTGTTCCTAATTTCTTAAGCACCACATGGGCTGTGCAGCACTGTGACACTGGCTGTTCAACTGCAGATCCATCCCTACTGATGCAGTCTGTACAGTTCTTGGGATCCTCCAGGCCCCCACAGCTCCCACACCCAGCACCATGCATTCCTATCCTACACAACTGTGATTTTTTTACCTTGCTCTCCTAAGAATCAGTACTAAAACTGATTTTGGCCTTACTGGAGTCAGAATAGACTTGGTTTCTATGCCTTGATTTTTGCCCTGCTTCTTGAAGGGCCATTGGAAATGACCAACTTACATTAGCTCCTCGAGGTGCTTGCAATTGGCAAGAGCTTCCATCAGCTTTTCTCCTCCAGCAGGACTAAGACAGTTCCCTGAGAGGCTAAAATAAGCACGAAAGACTCTCAGTGACTGAACAAGCAGCAGAACGTGTCAGTGTAACCACCTCACTGTGGTCTGGGATAATGGGAGCTTTGGGTCTCTGCAGCAACAGCCTACATGGGGCTGCAGCAGTTTGTCCTGAGAAACAGATCTCTGGAAAATGGCCCAGGGTTTTGCCCTGCATTTTCCTCAAGCACTGAGCCACACACGCCCTGGCAGATACCAGGGTGAAGGAGCAGTTTTTCTGCTCCCAGACGGAGCCTTTTTCCTCATTTAAGCAATTCCAGGTTTTTAATTCCAGAGCTGAACTTAACAGATAGTCTGGGTGTTCTCAATCTCATTCCCCCAGAGGAGGAGCTGCATGGATCCACATCTCAGAGCAAGAACCTCATCTGACGACAGTATCCTCGCTCTGATGAATTCCCAATTCCACCTCTACTTCCATCAGGAAAAGAAGAGCAGTGTAGCAACTCTGGGACTATCACTGTAGGAACCCTGTGCAGGGTTCCCAAAGAAACACACTGCATGGATATGAGACTTGCATGATTCCCCACAAGCTTGTGGACACAGGACACAATCAAACCACGGATCTCCCTTGTCAAGCAACTAGCAAAGCATGGCAAGTGTCTACCGCTGCCTCTGGGGATGGCTGCATGAGGGAGGGCACAATCAGCCTCTCTGCTGGCAGAAAAATTCAATGCCAGATCCAGATGTACACAGGCAGGAGAAGGAAACACCTTCCATTGGTTTTGTACATTTTGTATGGTGTCTTCAATTACATGGAAAAGACTGGAAGGAGGCGGAACGCTGCAGGCAGGAAAGCAGCAGAGGCTCCCTGCCAGGCATCCCCACCAACTGGCAACAACACCAAATCATTGCAAACAAAACAAAGTGACTCACTCGATTCTCTTCAAGTTTTGCATTTCCAGCAGGACAGCAGCTATATTTATCAGGCCTAGATCTCCAATCTTGTTGTGGCCTAAACTTCAGGAAGGAGAAAAAAAGGCTTGTTGTAAAGGAAAATGCTAGGCATCACAGTACGACATCTTGTTTAACATCTCACATCTGCTGGATGATCATTTTGACCTTGACAGCAGAATCAAAGAGCTGCTTGTCTTAACATTCTCGTGAAAGACTCATAGCTGTTAATGAGGCATTAAAAAAATTACAAACAGCAATCAAAATCACTGGGTCTTGTTAAGGGGTGGGAAATTACTTCAGCCAGAATTCCAAGGCACAGCTGGTCTTCCAAGCTGCTGTGGTAGAGAAGGGACAGGACCTGGATACAGGGAGATGGGGGGCAAAAAGTCAGAGCGAGCCCTAGCTGAAGACCTTCTCAGAGGGGGGTGATGGATTTGAGGTTCTCCCAGGAGAAAAGGGGGTCTGTGGCCCCATAGATTTCAGAGAAGATGTAATTACAGAGGCTCCATTTAACCCACTGCAATGGAGTGGCGTTAGACTAAACTCTCCCCTTTTCAAAATCAGGCTCTGATTTCCTTGAACCCAAGGCACCTTAAACACAGCATTTTGTAACCACCTTGCTTTTGTGTATAAGCACATTGGGACCTTAGCAAACGTCAGCACTAAGGATCACCTCTCTGCTGAGGAGAGACTGCAAGCAAGGAAAAACTTACTTGATTTCTTCCATGCAGTGCATGGTCCTCAGGGCTTCTACGAGTCTGGAGCAGCCATCGTCACCAATTCCATTATGGTTCAAGCTGGAAAGGACATCGGCAGTAAAACATTTCAGTCATGAGTTGAGGGGATGGGCTAGCAGTGAGCTGAGCTCACAATACTCACATCAGCCTTTTCAGAGATGGCATTTCACAGAGTCCAAGCACAAGTTTAGGAATGGCAGCATCACCGAGCTTCATGTGGCCCAGGCTACAAGATGAAATAACACAGGAACAACTAACTGCTCATGGGCAGCCATGCGAGCACCCAGAGCAGAGGAGAGCAGTACAAGGGCAGAAGAGAAATGGAAGTGTCTCCTAGTCCCATGAATAGGTTTTAGTAAAACTGGATGCTTTTGGATGCTGGTAAAATACCAAGATCCCAAACCTTGTCTCTCCCACCCATCCTTCATTACAAGTAAAAAGGAACTGCTGCTTTTTCCCTATGTGACGCCTGTTCGTAGTACAGGAAGAAGAAAGGGTGTAGTGTCATTAAAGCTTCAAGAAAGGTACAGCAGACACCAGCATCCGAGGTACTCACTTGAGCTCTTCAATAGCCTGGCACCTCTGCAGGCCTGTGATCAAGCAGTCAATTCCAGCTGGTGTAAAACTGCAAGAGGTCAGCCTGCAAAACAGCAAGGATCAAATAAGCACAGTTCTTAGCACGATGTAGAAGAGGAGCTTACTTCTTCACTGCCCTATCTCATAGCTGCTGGACACAGGGCTGTGAAAACTGGGCAGGTCAGATCTTCAAAACACAGAATGTGCAAGTGCCAAATAGCACATAATGCCTCCGGCCCCAGCATTTCACTGGGCAGAGATACCCTCTGCAAGCCTGCCTCCCATTTACATGCAGCTGAAGGGAGCTGTGAAAAGGATTCAGTGCTGTTTATACCAGACAACCTATTACACACAGCAGGGCAGTATAAAACGATGCACAGTGCATACAAGAGCCGAGGTCTCGATCTCAAATTGCTTCCATTTGAAAAAAAGAAAAGGGAAAAGCAAAAACCTCAAGACATGACACCTCCACAACCACCTACAATGCACACTGCAGAGTGCTGCTCAGTGCACAACCTCACACAGCTCAGCAGAGATCACAAAGCTCACGGCCATACTCCAGACAAAGAGCATTTCAGAGAGGATCGGGGTGAGGCACAGTGTTGAACAAACTATAAAGCAAAAGGAAGAAGTCCCAGCTGGAGACATACTCAAACTTCTTCAGGTCTGGAAAAGGCAGCAAAATGCTGACTAGCATTTCTGTGTCATCGTGGAGTTCAACATGAGACCACCTGCAAGAACAGAACAGTGGATGTGAGAAGATGATCCACTGGTGACAAAAGGTCTGCATTAAGCCACAGCTAAAGCACCTTCATTGCTGGGACACTCATGTGATGTCAAGATATTGACACGTGATGAGGCCCCACAGCAGCTCCCAGCCACAACAGGGCTGCACAGATGAGCTGGTCAGAGGGGAGAGTGAGATGCTTTCAGAAGACACCCAGGAAGCCTCTATGGGGTCTTTTCTATTACCCATCCAAACACTGTATTTAGGGGACTGAGAGGACAAGCACTGACCTTGCACTGGCCTCCCCCCCGCCCTCCTTGATTTCCTCCATGCAGTGCATGTTCTCAGGGCTTCTGCACGTCTGGAGCAGCCAGCACTACCAATATTACTATGCTTCAAGTTGAAAGGATATCCCCAGCAAAATGTGCTACTCAGTATGAGAGTAACACATCCCCATCCTGACCATAAAAAGAAAATCTACTCCTTTTCCCCCCGGAAAGTCTTCTGAGATGCCTAATGACTCACCTCAGCTCCTGAAGCTGGGTGCATTTGTCACGAACCCTTTGGTAGAAGCAAGCCTGTTTGATTTCTGGCTCATTCAAATTCAATCTGTGTGACAAAAAAACACCACCAGCATCAGTGTCCATCAGCAGTTCCCACTGTTGTACACAGCGTTCCCTCTGCTGCAGCTGGAGCCCCTGGAGATAGGCTTAGGAACAGGTCAGGCTTTGGAAGTGCCCTCTCTGAGCAAGCTTCCCTCTGCTGTGCCATACAGAGGTGTCCCAAAACTGAACACATGGAGCTGAGAGCCTCAAATACTTTGAAGTGTTTTTCATCACAAGGTGAGCAGCAGAATAAGCTGAACAAAGAGATGCCTTCTCACCTGCTAACGACTGATCCCACCTTTTCCAGGCAGTGTGGGAGCCTTACGCCTAGCTGGAAGAGGCTTTTCTCTTTATGTATCCTGGAAGGCAGAGATCAGAGAACATCATGCATTTACTTTGCTGTCCAGAATAAAAACCAGGAGCACTGGATGGGGTAGAGATTAGCATTCATGCTAACCACCCATCTCTGAATGGATGTGCAATGTTTCAATTAGTTCCTGGGCAGCCCTTCTCTCATGGAAGATCAAGAACAGCATTTCCTTTCCACTTATCCTTCTAAAGTAGGTGACCACAAACTTTCTAATAACTTCTATCCACCAGACATTTGGGTCTGTTCAAGTTGGCTCATGGCTTACAAATGCAATACAGTCTGAGAACAGAGAAGAAAAGAACAAATGAAGCTGCTGGCTTCAATATTGTTCTCTTAAGACATCCAGGCTAAAATACCTAGAAGATAGTAGAAGTTGAGCTGCTACTTACGTGATCGCAGTGATGTTTCCATGGGCCTGGACAGCCAGCTCAAGAAGGCTCCTGACCCTCAACTTACACACCCAGGGCTCTTCTATGCTGCAAAGCACAATACAACAGAACTGCTTTATTCACATGCACAGATTCATCTCTGCCTCTGGCAGCTGAGTGCTCAGCACCCCATATACACGCAAAGGCTGCTCTGCTGATCAAAGTGGTGTCTGCAGAGGAAACAGGATGCCAATGAAGAACAAGCAGAGGAGGATGTAAACCAGCTTCTGCCTGCATATCACTGACAGCAACAACAACAACCCTGGCTCTCGTGGCTCTAATGTTAACCAGAACTCTGGTGAGGACACAGTGCAAAAAGGTGTTCACACAGAATCAAACCCTTCTTTGTAAGGCAGGTAGAAGTCTACAAATTCAGAACAGTTTCTTGCCACAGTTTTACGTGATGCTTCGTAATGAATGAAGCAGATAAAGCTGTAATGCAACTCAGAGTCCTGCATGGGAATTTCTCAGGCCATCACTGCCTGTCTTACGAAGCACAGTTCACAGTTGCTTTTGATGACAGACCTCAAGATTACCAGAGCAGCTCCACATCAACATCTGAAGCAGCACAGTGACATCATACCTGATTTTTAGAGGACCTGGAGTTTTGCTCAGTGAACGTAAAAGCCCCTCTGCAGCATCGACTGTCACGTTGTTGTTGGAGGATCTAGAAGCAAAGATGATTGTAATGAATGGCTTACAAACAAGCCCAGTGTGTCCAAGCAGACCTTCCATCAGCCATTCACCCACATGCATTCTGTCAGACTGGTGCAGTTCTCCAGGACCAACCACAGCTTTTCCAAGTGCTCTGGCTGAAAGCTGCATTCTGTGAGCCTGAAAGGATGCAAAAGAAGAAAGGTGTCAGTTCTTTACGATCAGTTCAGGCTTTCTGACTCAGAAATCTCAGGCACAAATCTGTATTGTTTACCTCAAAATCTTTCTTGGGTCTTCTCTGCTTGTCAGCTTGATGATTAAAGTTGCCTTGGAGCACAGACTGCAGAGAAAAGACACGAGTGTAGGATTTGGAGAGAAAATAACTATTTACCCAATGGTCAGAATTCAGAATGGTCAGTACATCAGACTGCACACAGCAGTGCAGCAGAGCAGTGACACAGTGACCTGGTCCAGCTCAGGATGAGAAACCAACTCAGTGCTTCAATAAGGTCTCACTAATGCTAAGACAGCACTGATAGTTAGAGAAGCAGTCCTGATCTGCCCTGCTCTCATCTGCCTCCTCCAGCGCCTGCACTCTCTGCTCCTCTGCAAAGCTTTGGGGAGAGCTCAAACAGAAAACTGAGCTGCTTAAATATAACCCTGCCAAGAGATTTGGCACCTACATTCAAAAGCAGGAATGAATGAAAGTGCCCTTAGACCAGCTTGGTTGACAGAGACTAACTGAAATCTCAACTTACTCAAGTGAATTAGGAACCACATTCTTTAGGAAGCAGATGCTGCCCCCGCACTGAGGGGGTTTATTTACAGATATAAGCATAACAAGAATTATGATGTACGTAACCTGAATATGTGTGTCTTTATACACAAAACTACTTGGCCCTGTGGAATAATGTTCTGCTACCTTCCTCTTTGGCAGCCATGTTTGGCCAGTAGAAATGGACACAAGCAAAAGTTCTGCATGCACGTGTATGTAGAGTTAGCTCAAAATGTGGCCCTTGTTTTCTAAACCTGAAGATCACAAACTTTAGGATAATGAAGAGGAAAAAATGTAGGGAAGAGTCAGGAATGAGTGACGAGACACATACCTGACCAGAACTTCAGTGGTATTTCCAGAAGTGGAAAAGGCATTTACGAGATGCAAAACTCCATGCTGAGAAATCCCATTGTGGCTGAGACTGCAAAGAAGAGAACAGAAAGGTGTTAAGATTCAGGGCTGTGCCCAAGCTCCTTAGCCAGAGAGGTGAAATTCCAGTTCAAAATTCAAGCTGGCACTGAAAGCAGAGCAGGAAGAAACCCCTCTGAGACACAGCTAACTTCAGGAGGACAGTGTGCTCAGAGAGGTGAGTAACTGAAGACTTGGGGGGCTGAGTCAGTTTCTATCACAGTACATGTGGAGAGCTCTTGAGCTGTACTCGGGCTTGCCAGACCTTATCTCTCAAGGTAGGACTGGGCAAAAAGCATGACAACCAGCTTCATGAGGCACTGTGTTTGAGAACCTTTCTGCTCGGGCACTTCCTGCTCCATCTGAGGCTCAGGAGCTTCTCTGAGCCTGCAGATTCACAGCTGTTTCTTACTTGAGAGAACAGGCAACAGGCACTCGATGCAAGTGGTCCAAGAGGAACCTCAAGCCTTCATCTCCCAGCTGATTCCTGGAGAGACTGAAAGACAAAAGGACAAAGCTGTGAACCCAAACTCGAGTGGTAATGCTACTCTGAGAAGCTTCAAAGGAAAGAGGTGCAACTTCTGGATTTAGATCCCCTCTCAGCCTTTTAGATTTTCTCCTTTGTGAACTACTCTCCTACAAAACTTCCACCCGCACGAACTCCAGGGCAAGCTCAGATAAAGAGCTCTGAGTGCTGTCTCAGAGAAGAGCTCAAAGAAAGCAATACCTCATAATGGCCACAGAGGAAAAACCCCAAGGTTGCTGTCCTACACAAGCTCAAGCCCTCTCAGAACATACATAAAGGAGCCATGTGATTACTTATTGATTTCTAAATCAGTTTCTAAAGTCTGAAGGAAGACACACACACACACAGGGAAACCAGGGTGATGTTGAGCCCTGCTGACCCAGCTCTTTTGGATAACTCCTGCTCAAGGTGATGGTGACAACCCAAATGTCACTTACTCCAGTTCTGCCAGCCACCCATGCTGCTCCAGGACTCTGCAGAGCTTCTCTATCTGCCTTTGGCCGATGGCACAGTCAGTCAGCCTGCATAAGGCACAGCAAGAATTAAAGCCCACCCAGCCACCGAGGCTGCTGAATTGAAATCCAAAGCCTTGTTGACAAGACAAAGCTCTCTGACTGCCAGCCCCCCAGTCTTCATGCAGTAGAATATTTGAGCATACTTGCACAAGCCTAATCAGAACAAACGACTGCCACTCTTATATGTCAGTACCTGCAGGATGCCTTCTGGCTTTGCATGCTTGTTCTTAAGTGTAAGAAAGCATTCTGACTTGACCTAAAGCAAACAGAAAGGACAGTCTTTCAGCAGTGCTCCTCAAAGAAGACAGCTTTGTGATCCCTTTCAAGCTGAGCTGCTGGGCTCCAAGCAGCCCAAGAGCCTTACCTGACTTCCACCCTTCTGATGCGCTCACAGAGATTGATTGAGTTGGCAAATAAGACAGCACAACATGGGGAAAACGTGTTGTTCCTGATACTGAAAAGGAGAGAGGAAGAAAAAAGAATGAAATCAGCTTCCAGGAAGAATGGCTGTTATACACATGGCCCCATTTTCCCACTGTCTCCTCTGAGGTGCAAAAACCTGGATCCACCCTATTTAATTCAACACCGCTGAGGAAAGATTTAATGGCTCTGACCACAGACACCTGTTATGGATGCTGGAAATCATGCTCCAAGGGACTGTTTAAGTGAGGGTTATTGGGGACATGGGGCCCAGGGCAGGTATTTGGCCTCTGGTCTTTTCTATCTGCATTAATGCATACATTAATTAAAAAAAAAGCATTCAGTGCTGCTTTGGCTCTCAAGTAAGACAAGTACTGGTGTGAAGTGTTCTGAGTCAGCCTGCATTTTCTTTACCTGTCTTGTTAACTTACTATTTCTGTCTGATGTTCCTAAGAGGTGCAGTGCATTTGGCACTCTCTAAACGAATCCTTCATGGCAACACTCAAAGCAGAGACCCCAAACGTTACCTCAGTAGTGTCAGCTGGCACAGGTATGGCAGGAAGCTCAGTAATCTCTCAATGCTTTGGTCACTCAGTGCATTTCCAGACAGACTGTAAAACATGGAAGGAAACAAGTTACAGGGAACCTGTGTAGGGATATCTGTGATACCAACGTGCATGTAAAATCATTACATCCTAAAAACCTTATTTTTCCATGATACAAGATATAAAAAGTTGCTACTGATGCACCTCCTGCAGGTAGTGCTGGTATTATGCTGGGTGTTTTTAATTATTCTTTATTACTCAATTTTCATTTTCGAGCAGTATTAATCTAACTTTCCTAGTGCCCATCTCCTGCCTGCAGTGACCAGCTTTTCAGGAGTTCATGGCTTACTGGCCAGCTGCTCTTTGGATATACTGTAAGCCTGAGCCTTCAGGAGCAGAGGCCAACACTTATGTCTGAGGAATACTATGAGGATGCAGAAGTGTTCTGCAACATTTACATACAGACAGGCTTAGGAGAGCCATAGGCACAGCTCCATGAAGGAGAGCTGCTAACCTCATCTCTGAATCCATACCTGTGGGCTGGAGAGACAGACAGTTGCTGAGTGCACAACACTTACTCGATTTCCGTCAGCTGGGCACACTGTGTCAGTATCTGGCACAGCCTGGTCACATCCTCAGGACCCACCATGCAATCCCTGAGACTGAAGCAAACAAAGCACTCAGAAGCTCAACATTTCCCATGGCCACAGTGTGAGGATCGTGTCCCTTCATATCCCAGAGCCACACTCCTTAGGACAAGGCCCTTAGCAACCCTCTTACTTCCACTACACCTATTTTGCTATCTGCAATCTAGGAATGTGAAGTCAAAATCTGTAACAACCACAGGATTTTTACTGATTCTGAGTTGATTCAAGAGAGCCAGGCCACCAAATACTATATCACTTCAGGTGTCACCCCACTATAGATACATCACAGGTACTTGAATTGCCTGGACAGCACTGTGAGCTGCTCAGCGCTGTCATTTCTCACAGAGCACGTTGAGATGGGAGCCTCCTGTCTCATTCTCCAAGAAGGAAATCATAAACATCTCACTGGCAGGCCTCCATGGGATGAATGCAGTAGTCAGCCAGGCTGCACATCATTATCTATGGGTACAATCTTTCCCTGTAGAGCATGGCCAAGCAAAAGATGCACTATTTATTTTCACATACACACTTGCAGTCAAGGTCACCCCAAGTCTACACCAAGAAGGTGTATTATTCACCCATCTGCCTCTAGGATCTGACTCCAGTCACCCCACAGCACAAAGGCTGCTGGCCTAGGCTGATGCCAGCTGGCCTGATTTGTGCGAGGCTTTGTCGAATTATGCCAGCCAAGCCCTCGTGACCAAGTGTTATTTTGGTGTATGGACTCCCTGGCCAGCTTTAACAGGGAAGAAGACTGAAGAGAGAGAAAGAGATTAAAGACAAACATATTCCAGAAGTGGCTCCATGTAGAAGAGATGCCATCTTTCCTTCCCAGACCCATTTCTTCATAATCAGTGGGATGCAAGTGAGGGAAAGAAATCTCTTCCCAGGAGAGCAGAGTCTGCCTCTGAAGGCAGGCTGGGCACAGGAGAGTTCCCTGTGTCCAGGGAAGGAGAAACAGCTGGAGGCACAGGTCTGGTCCACACATTACACTACAGACACATCCCAGAGCCAACTCTCCCACCATTCTGTGTGACAAAAGGAAGCTGGGCTGCCATACCGAAAGCACTGTCCATTTGTTACGTGCTTTGGATGCACCAGGAAACAACTTCTCCATCTGCTGGTCCTTTTGAGCCTGGGGAAAGAACAGTTTCTCCCATCAGCTATGCTGTCACTGCCCCTGTGTAACTGCAGAAGGGCAGTGGCCTCATGTTCCAGTCTGCCTCCAAGCTCCACCCGCTCCATCGTCTGCTGTTCCCAGAACAAAGAAGGGTCTTAGAATCCCTCTCCCCAGCCTTCAGAGCACTGCATCTACGTGCCACTGTGGACCTCTGCTCTGAGCTGGCGTATCCCTCATCACTGGGATACTGCTGTCTGCTCCGCAGCCTCAATCAGGCCCAAAGGATCACCCCGCTCCCACCACCACCGCCACAGCTTGCAGCCAAACAACTCTTCAATGAGGGGGACACACAAATCTACATTTATATGAGATCTTGTAAGGAGGAGTTTGAAAGGCTTTGAATGGATCAGTGGATGTGACTTCACCTGATTCTGTCCCCAAAGGTTAGATGAACCACCTGCATGCGTCCTAAGCTGTAACCAGAGCAGAACAGAATTAGGATGGAGTTTGAAGTCAAGAGCTTCTGTATTACTCCTGAAAACACACAGCTTGAAGTCTTATAGCAGAAAATGACAGGAAAAGTACTCTTGGTCATACCTGAGGTCCATTGTTTCAATGTGTTCCAGTGTACATAAGGACTGAGCTAAGCAGAACACAGAGCTCAGGGAGATCTGATTGTTATTTAGCCTACAGGAAGAAGAGAAAAAACAGCTGTGGCAAGCAAAACTACCAATTTATACTGTGTCATCCAGTAACAGACATCCTTGTCCAACATCCTCAGGTGCTTCTCTCTCAACTTTCTTCCTGTGCTTTCAAGCTTCCGAGTTCTGCAGACACAAGTGCAGAGCTGAGCTGTGCAGATGACCTAGCCCAACCCTACTGCTCAGAGCAGACTGCTCAGGACATGGCTTTGAACATCTCCAAAGATGGAGAATCCAGTCTCTCTGGGCAGCTGCGTTCAGTGCTCGACTGTGCTCAACAGAAAAGGTTTTTTTCTTAGGCTTAAATGAAATTCTTTGTGTTTTAAAATAGTGATGTGAGGCAAGAATCTGTACTGGAATAGAGATGAGGAAAGACCAGAGGGCGCAGCAGATCCACACTTGCAAAACACAAACTGTAACTTCACTTGATCCTCACAGCCCTTCCTAAATATAGACTGTGCTTCCAGTACCAACACTCCCACAAAAACCCATCCGTGAGTAAAGAGAAATGTGAGCTACTCACTTGAGTGACCTTAACATTTTCAGATTCGGGAGGAACTGCAACAGCTGGGCAAGTCCTTCATCTCCCAGATAATTACTTGAGAGGCTAGGATTTCAAGAAAGGCACTTAATTTTCAAAGGCAAGCACAACAAACACCATTAACTCTCAGCAGCAAGAGCTCTGAAAGCAGAAGGCCTGCATTCTTCATCCTCTGCAGGTTTGCTCCCATATGGCCCCAGGGCCAAAAACACAAGGCAAGATTTTACAGCTTCTGTGCCACCTGAAGGCAGGCTAAGTGATCAAACAGCTCCTTTCTGGATGTATAAGCTGTGACCCTTGCCTTCACAGAACACTACAACTGCATGACTCCCTGACTAAGGATACCAGCCCACATAAAGCTGTATGTATGCCACATTTTCTGTACAACACTCTGGCACAGATAAATGGCATCTTCACAATACCCCCACAAACTGCAGATAAAGAGTGTAGGAGTTACGAAGGACTCACTCCAGCTCAGAGATGCTGCCACATTCCTTCAGGACTGCACACAGCTTCTCCAGGTCGCTGGCTTGAAAACGACAGTCTGTCAACCTAAGGGAAAAAGAGAAATCAATAGTCCAGCTTCCATTGCATTTCCCCTACTAACAGCAGCAAGTCCCTGCAGTGCCACAAGCTCTGTCACCACCAGTCTCCTCCAGCTGCCACGTGGAAGCTGACGCCGTAGCACACAATCACCACGCTGATGCTGTCAATGAGGAAGCACAGCCCACAGCTACTTTGAGTGCTGTAGAAGCCCACAGACACTGACCACAGAGCTTCCAGAGCTGTGAGCTAGGACTGTGAGCACAGTGAGGACTGAATGGGTCTTTACCAGCTCTCCTGCAACTCACCATTCGAACTCGGAGTTGCAGGTTTCATTCAGCTATAGGATACAGACATGGGGAATAAATGAAATACAATGGATATCTGCAGCAGTACCTTATTTTTTTGGAGGGAGCAGGTGTCTGGTTTTCTTTGTCATCCCGTTGGTCATCAGTAGGGTACAAAGACTCTTCCCTACTAAGTGAGCACAAAACCAGACAAGGATAAAATACTCAGGCTTTGGCAATTTGGCAGATGCCCAGGGCACATCCCCAGGTAAAGATACCCACACCCACATCTTTTCCATAGCAGGTTTTCTTTCTTTCAGTGAGTATCCCAACACTCTGAGAGTGCAGGAGGCTGGGGACAAGAGGAATATGACAGACTTCCCATCTAAGCTACAATTTTATGGAGCATTCAGCTTTTACCTGAACATACTGTGCACAAAGAGTGTCTTAGCAAAAGGAACCTGGTCATAAGTAAATAAAGCATCCAAATGCCAAAATGTCTGAGTTTGAATTTCACCTAACAGAAGCTAGTGGAAAACATTCCAAATAGCTGAGAAAACCAGGGGAGAGTACTAAGTTCAGATTCAGATGAAAGAAAGGAAGAACTGAAGAGTTTCCTCTGGTGCCAAAAGTGGACATAAGAACTAAACAAGATGTTGAGAAGAAAGAAAACAAACCCACATATGTCCACGCACACCTTACCCAGGAGGAGGGGAAGCAAATTCTCCATCTTCTGTAAACCTCAGGACTGCAGTGTTATGATAAAGGCTGAGTAAAGAAGAAAATAAATCAATCAATGGCCCATTTTGATTATTGAAATTAGTTCTTTTTTTCTGAATGCTTGGTGTTGGTACAGATCTGCTCCTAACGCCTCAGTGCTATTCATCATTTAAACTATTCCCAAAGCAAGCAAAAGATCACCTCCAGTAGCTTTAAACCCTGGCTGGATAAAACTATGCAATATCTGATAACTCAGTTTCTCCAAGCAGTTAGAAAAAATGCAGACAAAATTGCTGCACAGGAATCCTAAGGTGTCTCCAAGGGAAAATAGTGAGAGGAGAACTTTCAGCTCGGCTCCAGGAGATGTCACCATTGCTCAAACTCCACAGAGACTGTCTCCAAAACTTCCCAAGGCAGAGCACAGAAATGAGCCTAAAACTCAATCCACGCACGCCCCAAAGCATTACAGGGCACACAGTCCTGCACCTTCTCAAACTCTGGATGGTGGCTCAGATAGAATCACCCTGCAATGATGTGTCATCACAGGCAAATATTAGCAACCATCTTTGCACACTCTCTACCTGCCCCTATCCTGAGGTGAGTTAACACAGCTCTCAGAACCCAACTCTCAGACTTTGGGATGAACTTCAGATGGGATTCTCCAAGACTTACATACCTGACTTCCACCTCCACCACCTTCTGACAGGAATTCACTGCCTTCAACAGACTGTAAAGGCCGTTAACGGAGAGCAGGTTGTGACTCAGACTAAGAAAGAGGAAAAGGCAAACGTGTGGTTACTGAAATCACACATGCAGTGAACACACAGAAGGACTGTGTTGATGAAAGCAGTCTTGACTGTGCTGCACGCTTGTTCCCACTGCACTGCAGAAGCAACACAGAACAAAACACACAGGACCACTACTCCTGAGAAAGGGTTGTAATAAAATGGCACTTTGGATGCCCTCACAGCTACTTCTGAGTGATATACTCTTAGTACGTGACCAGCTTCAGCCTGAACAGCCTCTCAGGATGAACCCCATCCTTCCCCAGTAGTGCTCACAGCTGCTTCTGCAATGCTGGACTGCGTGAGGTCTTTGCCTCCTGAACCCCTCTTTACCCAAGCGCAGGAAACAAAAGGGCAATTTGGTTTTGTATAAGGCAATACTTACTTCAGCTGCTTTGAAACTGAAATCCAGGAAAGGTTTTCCAGGAGGAAACTGCAGCCTTCATCCCCAAGCTTGTTATCTGATAAACTGAAGCATTTTTCAGTTAGTGGGGACAGTATAAACAACAAAGCCCTCAAAATCTACTTGCTTTCCCTAATTTTTTTAATTATTTTTTTGCCTGGACAGTTCTTTTGCTTCAGAGCAATCTCCCCTATATATCCCTGCACAGAGCAACTCCAGACTAAGAGTTTTATCCCTAGAGAAGCAAGATTCATGTCTTAGTACCAAAAACATCTAACATAAAAAACTTAATTGGAAGGGCAAAGCAAGAAACCAACTGAGCAAGTGTTTACAGCCCCTTGGAAGGAAGGATGGAAGAAAGGACAGAAGGAGACACTGAATAAGGAAGTTCTCCATCTCAATTTCAAGTTAGCGAGCTGGAAAATTGGAGTTTAGTTGTCACAGGAATCAAAAGCTGCTCAGCATTCAGCTCCCACTGAACCTCACCAAAAATCCCTAACCAAGATGTCAGCAGACACAGCACAGTGTGCTGGGTTCCTCCCTCCCTCGGGGTCTCACTGCCTCCTGTCTCTAACACTGCCTGCTTCCTGCCCACACTCACAGCAATGCAACAGGGAGGAAAGGTGCACTTACTCCACTTCAGAGAGGTGTGGGTAGCTCTGGAGAATGGACACAATCTCCTCTGCATGTTTTGAGGACAAGCCACAAGCCTGCAAGCTAGGAACAGAGAAGGTTAACGAGCAGTGAGGGGACAGTGGGAGCTGGCATTTCTGGAGCCTGTCTCCAGATGAAGGCACACAGAGCCAGGGCTGAGAGGGATGTTTTCCAGCCTCAGCACGTGCAGACAGCGCTCTTGAGTTCTCCTGTTCTCAGAAAGCCAATACTGTCTGCTGGAGGCATGAACCCATCAACCAGGAGGAATTTCAGAGCCTTCTCTTACCACAGCCTCAGATGTCTGGCTGGAGTCGCACATTCCTTGTTTGGTTCCCACAAATCCAAAGACCTGCAAACAAGCAAAATATTTGGCCTTCAACATGGCTTCACAAAGCATCTGAGGAATCAGGAGCTGGTTAACATTTTCTCTGAGCTTTCTGGAAAAAAACAACAAGTTGTGGGCTCTGCCCACCAACCCTTCCAAGCCAGGCTAAATGATCTTCAAGGCCAGAAAACCCCATCAGGAGATGGGAGCCATCAGCACAGGGGATTTCTTTCTATCTGAATCAACTCAGTTTCTGAGTTCCAAATCAAAGGCACAAGTAAGACACAGGATGCTTTGCCTCCACGTGAGACTGTGCCACTACAGGAAGCTTTGCCAGATGCAAGGCAATCAGTTCTCCTGAAGTGGTTTAGAGTGACACTGAGCTGATGGTTTAAACCAGCATAACTGAGTAAAGCACAACAAGCTGAACACGACCAAGTGTAGTTTCTCACCTTGGAACTTTCCCAGATGTGCCCGAGAAATATATCATCACAGTGTCCTTCCTGAAAATGAGATCGAAGCCAGTGTTAGGATGCTGGTAGAAGGATGTCATTTCTTCAGCAGAGGAGCTCAGTAAGGAACAAAGCTGCTCCATGGGTGCTAAAGAGTCAAAATCTGCCACGTGAGCATGTTGCCACAGACAAGCTAAAAAGCAGCCATGGGGCTGGAAGGCAGCACCACAGCTCTATGTTGACACACACAAAAGAGAAACGTGGTTAAGAAGAAATGGGTTGGGTTTTTTTTTTGCAAAGCCAGCCATGTGTTGGACACAGGTTCTGTAGAAACTCCATTCCAGCAAGAAAAATGAGAGAAAGCTGTATGCAGGCTGACTTCCCCTGAGTTACACCAGGGATTAACTTGGCCCATTAGGCTTATGGCAAAAGCACATGAGCTAAGGTTTAAACATTTCTCTTTCATCCTAGACCTACAAAAGCAAAAATAAATCTGTTATTATGCTAGCTGGTGGAGAATTTCCTCATTGATATATTGCAGAGCTTAAAAGCAAGTTTAGATTTTGCTACTGATGAGGAAATACCACACTTGCAAACCAATTTATAGACAAAAAGATCTATTAAAAAAAATGCAAGCAGGGAATCCATAAGATGATTGATTCACATTTTGTGTTTCAGACAGAAAACAAAAAGGAGCAAAAGTCATCTTTCATCAATTTTGATTAACCCACAAATAACTGCAAAGCAGCTCCCATCGATAGAGCCATCACCTAAAGATTTTGGTAAGAGCCCTCATGCTCTGATACCTGACACGTAGCTCAGTAGCATTCTGACACACAGTGACTTCTTTGGCCAACAGGAGAACAGCACTCAAGGAAAGATTGTTCTTGCTCAGACTGTGGATGTGAGGAAGACAGTTTCAGATGCTAGGCATGGTCCTTAGTTCCCCAAATGCACACCCCCAACACACTGAAGGTTCTCAAAACTCTCAGGAACACCCCTGAACCCACAACACCTGCATGCTTTGAGGATCTGCTCTTTAACCACACATTTATGCTGTTTCACTGCTTGTCGGACCTCACTAAACCTTTTAACATCTTGTTTCTACAGAACCTCAGGACCACAGACCTGTGAACCTCAATGTAATCATAAAATAATGCTGTCTACATGTATCAGAAACATGTGAGGGAACACGACTTACACCTGCACTGCCCTTCAAACTTCCCTGTAAGATCAGATGCTCCGCTGGGCAGCAGTGACACTTCCCAGAAGCATTATCCAGCACTCCAGGAAAGCAGAGGAGCAGGTGCATTCACCATTCTTCCCCTCCCCAGCAGGAACTGCAGGCGTATTGGACTCACCTGCTCACAACCCAGGGGAATGGGATGCCCTTTAAGGGCAGTGTCCCCCTTTTAACCAAGGTGGATGGGCAGTGGCCTGGTTTTGCCTTCCCAGAGGGACTGGACAGGACAAGAAGGCTAAAGGAAAGCTTGGAAGAGAGGGAGAGAGCCATCTGCTCAGGAATTTTCACCTGAACCTGACCAAGGGGAAGAGAGGTGAGGAGGGAGAAGAGAAAAACTGTGCCACATGTCCTCTAGTGGCACCTCTACTAATATCAACCCTTACCATCCATCAACCCTGCTCTGAGGCTCTCTCTTAAGCTCTCTTTGATGCTGTGCTTGGCTTCATAACAGCTAACATTTTTGATATGTTTATGTCTTTTTTACTCACTCTATTTTCTTTAGCTTTTCCATTCTGGAAAACAGCTCCATCACTGTCTTTACGTTTGGATTCTGTACCCGGTTGTCCTGCAAGCTGCACACAGATCGGGTCTCATTAGCACCCCAAACCCAAATGTACAGCTGATTGCAGTGGCACTGCCACACCACACTCACTTTATTTCCTCGAGCTGCAGGCAGTGTGACAAAGCTCGGACCACATCAGTCAGCCCCACAGCTGTGATGCTCCCACCTGTCACCCTGGAAAAGAAAGCATCAAATTGAGCAGAGGGAGGCCTGTCATCTGTGCAGCACACGGCAAACCCATCCCAGAACGTGCCTGCACCACACACGTGGATGCTGCCTGACTCTGCGACCTGCAACCAACTTTCTGCTGCTCTTTAACCAGGGCAGAGCAAAACTTCTCCTGATAGGAGGTAGTGGTAGAAAAAAGAGCCACAGATGTTTGTGCTGCTCTGCATGGCTCTGTAAGATCAGCACTGAGTGAGTGAGGGATTAACCTGTGAGGCACAGCAGAGGAGGCTCAGACCTTGCAAGCAGACTTACTCTAGTTTCCTCAGGCTCCCCATTCCTCCTAAGCTCTTTGAAAGTGCAGCAGCAAAGTCATCACCAAACCTCCTACTCCGAAAGCTAAAACATAAAGAGAAGGGAAAAAAATTAAATACAACAAAGAAAGTAGCCCACACAGCAGGTTAAAACGTAACAAAAAACATATGTGTTGAATTGATTTTATAACAGGGGCTGTGTCATTTTCTTTTTTGGTGGAATCTGGTTTTTAAAAAACCATTAAACTTGCACATTAACTGCATGCATTGAAAGGACAGAAAGCTTTTGTCTTTTGGTCTTTTGTCTTTTGGTACAGTGGCACCTACCTACTAAGTCGCAAGCAGGATGACTCCAGTCCAGATGCTGTTAGTTTGAGTGGCAAAGCAACCAACATTTTCCAGAATATAAAAGACACAAGGTCTGAAGGCAAAGTACTTCCTTTATGGGGGGGATTACATAGAAGATACTTCCATAGAAAAATCCCAAGAGATCCTGCTTGGAAAGTCCCTCCAGCATTACAACAAAGTACTGATAGGGAGGGCACCTTGGATTGCAGTTGTGATCTCCTGTTCACCTGCTTTATGGTGACTTCATCATCATTTTTTCATTTGCTCACCACGATTCATCTTGCCTTTTAATGCCAAGCAGCACTTTTCATTCTCCCCTCACCTCTCAGGCTAACTACCTTGTTGCTTTCACTGCTTTAGTCCAAACAAAAAAATAAAAAAACAGCCAGAATGGATTTATCACCTTAATATCTTCCAGCCACTCATAAATACAAAGGGTGGTGAGGCACTGGAACAGGTTGCCCAAGGAGGTTGTGGATGCCCCATCCCTGGAGGCATTCAAGGCCAGGGCCTGGGCAGCCTGGTCTGGGGTTGGAACTGGATGAGCACTGTGGGCCTTTTCAACCCAGGCTGTTCTACAATTCTATGAAATACATTATTTACTGAGTTTCTCTGGTGTCAAAATTGCTGTTTTCTCACATCCTCTTTCTCTCCCCTTTACAACAGAAATGCTAGGTTTGCCCTGCCAGCCCCCAGCACACCGCACATTTACCTCAGATGCTCCACATTCCTACAGCTGGCCAGCATCTCCAAACAGCCTGTGTCTAAGGGGCACCCTGCAAAATCCAAACGAGTCACATCCTGGCCCGAATTGATGACAAAAACCAAAGCCGACATGTCCAGAGGTGTCAGTCTGAAGTTTTTAAATTCATACTTGAAGTTCAGCAGGCTCCCAATGTGCTGGGCCACTTGAAGGCCCTGCGTTTCAAACGTGCAATGGCAGAGCTCGATGACTTTGGGCCCGGTCAGCTGAGTGGCTGCCAGTTTCTTGAGGGACTGAAGGATGACATCTTGCTTATCCTGCACCCACGCTTCACTTTGTTCAGCTAGCAACATGAGAAACGTTCTACACTCTTTAGATGACAAGCCTGAGAGGAAGATGTGAAAGCTCTCCATGAACTCAGTCTTTGCCTCATTCCTTAACGTCCACTTGGACTTCAGAGATAACTTCCTCTTCAGGTGACTCTTGTCCACATTCTTGCTTATCATGAGACACAGGGCTGCGAAAAACTCCTGCAGGCTCAAGTGCACAAAGGCATAGCCGGTCTCGGGGCGAGCACTGTTCGTCTTCACCTCAAAGACAGTCAGCAGACCGTGCAAGGAAGCAAACTCTTTCACGTGCTCTGGAATATCTCCAACGTAAAACACGAGCTTCTTAGCTTCCAGGCCTTTCAGTGCAAGATCACACAGACCCAAAATGGCCTTCTTGTTACTGTTCAACTGAGCCTCCTCATCACCCGCATGCCCTCCCTGCTGTTTGTTTATGAAGATGAGAAGCATTTTGATATAAAACTGTGTCATGGTCTGAGGAAGTTCCACGCTCGTCTGATGTTTAAGGAGCCAATACTCCAAACAGATGCAGACGACGTAACACAGAGCAGGGATCTGGCACATGCTGAGGAGCTTGGTGTTGTTCTTCAGGTGAGCGATGGCTTGCTCTCTGAATGAATGATGACGAAAATAGTGGCTGACGTATTCCTCAACCTTCTCGTGATCAAACCCCCAAACTTCTGCCAACAGATCCACTGTGTTTATCAAGAAGTCGGGGAGTCTCTTAGGGCGACTGGTGACCAACACCGTGCAACCAGGCAGGAGGTTCCCATGACAAAGCTCTGCAAAGAGTTCAGATATGGACATACTGGAGCTACGATTCGAGCTTCCTTTAGAAGATGATGACACGTCCATGTTACCCGCAAACTCATCCAGCCCATCAAAGATGATCAGTATACGCTGGGCGTTTTCCAGGAGGTGCTGGAACACTGCATCAGAGCTGTCTTCAGGCTGAAGAAACAGGTCAAACAAAAGCTCCTTCAGAGTCAGTTTTCTTTTTAGTAAATTCAACTGCCGGAACTCAAACAGGAAAGTGAAGAGAAACTGATGTAAGACACCTTCTGCCCACTTCTGACAAATCCTGTGCATCAGCACGGTCTTGCCTGTACCTGGTTTACCAAACAAAAAAATCACCTTCGTTGCACCTGATCGCACCACGCTACCAAACAGATCTGACACCCTCACGGCTGTATCCACACATTCTTCTGGCTCGGGGGCACTGGGCACGTCCTCTCGGGGTTTATCTGCCCTCTCTTTCAGTCGGGAGGCTTTGCTCTGCCGAAGAACGAGGTTGACAAAGGCTTGGCTGAAAGCCAGCGGCTGCGCCGGCTCTTGTGCTGCTGCTCCTGCTGCTCTCCTGCTTCCGTATCTCTTGCAGACGGAGTCAACGAGAAGACGGCGATACTTTTCAGCTGAATCTGAGAAAGCAGAATGAGTCGAGGGTGAGAAGTTAGCTCTGAGCTGGAACACAGCAGACACTGCTGCTCCCAGAGAAACCCCGGCCCTGATCAGAAGCTGCTTCACACAGCTAGAGATGCACATCATCAACACACAGAAATAAAACGTTTTTTTCCCCTTTTGCACCAGTGTTACACAGCCCTCAGGCCTGCTCAGACCACTGAGCCTTTCTTGGATTTACTGTGACTTGATTTTGTCATCGCTCATCCATTCAGTTACCATTCTATTTTAGAGTGAGCTGAAACCATACATGCTTTTAACGTGTGGAGCCTTTAGAAGGTTTTAAATCATCACCACATCTCCCAGTTTGGTTTAAAAAGAAAAAACCCAACAAATAAATACAAAGAAGATGAACAGCTGAATGCTTTACAAGTCTTTACATGCCATCTGCGTCCCCAGCCAGGTCCCACTGTTGATACATTTCAGAACCTGTTGCATAAGAATTTCTGCAGCCACAAAGCAGAAGTTTCCTTCAATGCAGGAAGTTGGTTTGTTTGCTGAGTACTTATGCAAGGAAGTTTTAAACACGTCCTTTCCTCAGAGGGAAACCCATCACTGCTCTGCTTCTGCATATCAACATACCCAGGCGTTGCTGTTTAGCATCCCTATCACTGATGGGGCTGCTGCTACGGCGGCGGCGCGTCAACCCTGAAAGGGAAAGGTGGACACACATCAGAACAGCAGTTGGAATGTCAGCTTACAGAGAGCTGGGCAAGGCTCTTCAGCAAAGCACCCAGGGAACTGAAAAAAGGAGCAAAATCAGGGAGAGAAAACTATTTGGAAATTCAAGCTGAGCTTACACAACGGTTTTTGCAGTTGCTGAAGTAAATGCAGACATGCATCCAACTACTGAAAGTTAAACTGATAAGTACAGATTCTATACTCGGTCTTCACCAAAAGGCCATGGAAGAGAAGTCTCCTTCTCTGGAGACATTCAAAGTATCTGGACACCTTCTTGTGTAACCTGCTTTAAAGAACCTGCCTTGGCAGGGAGGTTGGAACTGATGATCCCCAGAGGTCCCTTCCCACCCCTATGATTCTGTCACTCAGACAGTCAGCTTGGGCTGGTCCTTAAGGCCCAAACACTCTGCAGCTCCCAGGATTGCCCTTGGCATCCAGGCTGCTTAATGTTTAATGGAGCCTCCTGAGCTCCATTGCTTTCCAGGCTTCCAGCACTTTGGTTTATTCAGTTCATACAGGTTTATAACACCAGCTGTGCCTACTGCAGCGTAACGTGCTACTTTCTTATTCAACATCCTTGGGTGTTTTTGAAGAAAACTTGAGCAGGTCCTTCTATCTCTCTGAGGGACACATGACCAGACACAAGAAATCAACATCTATCTGATATTGGAACATGACAGCAATGACCAAGTGTTGATCATTTCCAGCCTCCGACAGCTGAGAGATCAGAAATGGTACAACCTGCTTTGAAACTCTCTGCAGGAAACAACACGAACTGTAAAAGGCACATGCTTTGAAGGGTGATGTTTAATGTATTAAGTTTAGTAAATGATTCTTTTGCTCTGTCCCTTGTTTGCTGAGCAATGCCAAAACCTCAGCCAAAAAGCAACCACTAAAAAGCATCCTAGGAAGTGACCCCATTGGCACCACAGCTGCTGGAATGTCAAAAAGGAAAAGGGAAAGGAATATATGTATATGTTCAATGTATAATTAAAGGAATATATGTATATGTTCAATGTATAGTTAAAGGTAAGGGACAAAAGTGGATAGGTCTGCATACAGTGTAGTTGAACAAGCACTGGAGAGGTGCGTGGGGCGTGGAGGAAGTGGTTCTGAGCGTATAGAAGAAGAGTGCCAAACTTGAGACAAGAGATTATGCCACATACAGAGAGCACACACCCCAGCTACCCACTGTAGCAAAGCCCACAGCCCAGTTTCTTTGAAATATTCTCCACTCCTCCTCAGGATTCAAGTCCACCCAAAGCAGGATAAGCCCGCGTGATGGACCTGGAAGAGAGCAGGAACAGAAAACACCAATGATTAAGATGTGTTTGCTGCTCAGGGAGTGCAGTGTTAAAAGCCTGCTTGCAAACATAAAAGTTGTAAGACGCTGAGCAAACCTCAGCAAGGAACACAGGCAGCTCTGCAAGAAGATCCTGCTGCTGCCAGTGTTTTACCAATGGGCAATCCAGCACCCTGACAGCAATATCAAGCACCTCCAGAGGACCCAAGGTTTCCACTTTGCTCTCTGCACTGCCAGGCTGATGGCTCAGGAACTCCTCTGTGCTGCAGCCTGCAGAATGCAAGGCCTCATTTCCTACTGCTTCGTTTTCTTCCCTCACACATCTCAGAATGACACAGCAAACTGATGGCTGCTTTCAGCATGAACAGGAATCAGCAGATGACCAGGATTGATTCCTTTTGCTGCAAACACTCAGCAAACTGGACGTCAGAATCACATCCTCTGTGTATCCTTCTGCTGAGGGATTCCTCACACTGCGAGGGCCTGGGCTGCTCTTTCATTTCTGGAGGCTGAAAACCTGGAGACTGAGGAGGCAATTCAGATTCTAGCAGCCTCCAGTTCTTCCAGCAGCTGTAACGTGAGAGTGCAGGGACAGTGCTGAGTGGTGCCCCCAAACCAACAGCATTTTCCAATGATGCCACGTCCAATGATGGCATTGCAGAGCTCTAGGGGAAGAGGAGGGATCCCTCATTTCACAGTTTGCATAGCTGGAAGTCCACAGTCCTAAGTTCATCCCTGAAAATAGTCCTAGACTTATTACCACGCATTATTTTAAGCTCAGATTCCCGCATCCTAGAATGATTTCTGTTGGACTGACTCCAGGTTAGTCTGTCTGATAATTCTTTAAAAGCCAAACCAACTTCCTCCACTTCTCAGTGAGCCAACCATAGCATAGCTGTAAAAAGTGGGGGTTTCACACAGTGGATGGGAGATTCCCTGGAAAGAGAAACTGAGTGGGTTCCCCATCAGAGCCAGGGCCAAAAAGGCTATTCTGAAATGCAGGGAAAGAAAATGAAACAGGAGATGTTTATCTGGAAAGCACCACCAGAAAAAACAAACCTGAAGTTACAACGCGTGACGATCACTTTGCCAGTGCTGTAGCCAGTATGTGGGACATTTGTAGTCTTGTCCAGCCCACAGGCAGAACACATACGTTCTAAGACCATTGAGAGCATTATGGGTCTGTTTCAGCCTTACCTCTTGGCACAGAGGACTGGTCACTTGTATCTGTGTGCACTTCTTGCTTCTGAGTCGAGTTACCTAAAGGAGTTGAATGGGAAATTAAGAGTTATTGCCATCATTCTGCTCTTGAAAACTGATCAGATAAAATGAAAGAGCAAGTAGCTCACAACACAGACAGAGACATACTAACAAGGCTCTGTGTAAGGGCTGATGCAACACAGCCAGGTTTCTGGTACCCCATCTGATCTCCTCTCAGCTTGCTCAAATTAACAATTAACCTCTGCTTTCAAGGTGTGAAACAGCTGTTCAGTACGACATACGCAAAGTCAGAGCACAAGCAGCTTTGGCTAATCTAAAACCACAACGCAGCCAAAAAGAAGCTCCGTTCTTCCCTGCTTCTGCACAGGAGCTGTTTCTGGGATGAAACTCAGCCCAAGCAAGGACCTCCTCTGACTCACTGCATGGCAGCACAATGCTGTGCAGTGAAGGAGGCAGCTGGAGATGCAGGAGCTCCCTGGCAGCCCCACAGTCACTAAACTTCTGAGGGAGATCCTGCTCGTACCAAGCAGGAGTCTGCATACCAACAGTTAGGTAAACTCACATCCCAGAGGATGGCTCCCCAAAACCAGATGGGAAGCTTTCACACACAAGTTCTCTTCATTGCCATCTCCAGCTGGAAATGCAGGCCAGTGCTGTGGTATTTCTACCTTTAGCATCAGCACAAAGCAATGAAGAACAAGGCTGCAAATGCGGCCATGCCACAGCCTCGCACAAAATCCATTCAAGATCTTTCATGCGCTGACTCTTGCCCTGTGTGCCACATAAAGCAAAGCACCACAAGCTGTGGTCCCAGTCTGGTTCACCATGCAGTCAGAAACACGTTTTCCCAAGAGTCACTTCAGCTGAGGCAATCACAGTTCATCTTCCCCAGCTAAAGACCACTTTGCTACTCTGAAGGGTGTCCTCCTCAATGCCATCTTCTGCCCTGACTGGGACAGCCCCTGCCATGCACAGGGTCAGGCTGCCCTTAAAATCACACTAGAGCAAAACCAAACCAAGTCACCCTCAAGCAGGAGCAGTGATGCTAAAATGGTAACACTGCAGTTTAACCGGCATAAGCCAACACTGAAACCTGAAGAAACCATTTTTTTCATGATACTTCACGTCACTAAAAGGTGAAAATCTGCTTCAGTTTTAGTCCTGAGGTGAAGGCCACATCAGTCCTAAGTGCAATTTCCTGCTGCTTGACTGATCTCTTCCTTCTGCAAAAGTAACAGCTGCTGAAGTTGGTCACTAACGGCTGCAACCATTGACTGATGCAAGTAATGGCAAGTTATTGCAAGCAGGGTGTTAGATACAGGCTGCTGAGATCTCATCACTTCCTGCTATGCAGGGTGCTAGCAGAGGAGAAGTTAGGCCCCAGTTAAGCAATACAATGAGGTATAAGCACAGCTGGGTTGGTACTGTAGGTCTTCATAGTGTGCACACCCCGTGTGTGCCTACACCCTGGTACACAGTGCAGTGGTTACACTCTAGAGGGGACTGTGTCAGCTACAAAGACGTTGCTTCCAAGTAAAAATGAGGGATGTGGGGAAGTGCTTTCCTTTTTCTGCAAGTACTTTAAGACTTTTCTAGTTCTTTTCCTCCTGGATCAGGAAAACCAAAGCCAAGCAGTTAAAAATCCATGGAAATAAAGGATTGTTCTTAATTTTTTCTACACATATATCAAAACATTTCATCTCAGCTTTATTGGAGAGGGAGCATGCATTTTTAATCGGTTTTAGCTTTTATAACTATTTTTTTTTCACTCTCAATTTACATTTCTAAGCCAAATATCCAAATATTCTCCAACTCACATCAGGCCAATTGTTGTTGAAAGGGCAATCACAGCCAGCTGGTCACCAGCACCCAGCAGAAGGACAAGAAGAGAAATATATTACGTGTATTGCATTCTAATGGACTTCTCCCCTGCTCAAACACCCCATCTGCAAAAGCCCAGTCCACTGCCAGCCTGCAGAGGGGCATTCAAAACGAGGTGATGCTAGCAATGCTGTAAGCAACCCACTTGTTTTCAGATTCAGATGAGAAAGAGCCCACCAACACCAGCCGTGGTGAAAAAGCACTTCTCAAAAACATGAAGTGCTGCTGTTTGCTGGCAATAAGCATTTTTGAAATGACTGCTCTTCTTCCAGAGATTATGGTGCGAGGGGCGAACCAGAAGGAAAGGTAGCTCATTTACCAGGTGGCTTGGGCTTGCCTGCAGCTGCCTGAGCAGCATGAAGTGGGCTGTCACTTCTCACTGACTGAGTGCATAATTGAGGGCTTTGGCAGCATCAGTGCCTTCAGAAGGCCAAGACACCGGTTGTGTTAGGAGAGCAGTCAGAGGAAGCTGGTCCACCCCTGCTACCTACCTTCTCCTGCAGAACTCATGAGCAGTATCTCCATTTCCAGGGGCAGGTCACACTCCATGCACAGGCACTGTGCAAACTGTTTCCAGGTGGCGTGGCCGGCCTTCTCCAGCAGGTCGAGGAGCACAGAGACTTTTTCTCTGCGGTCAGCAACACCTGCCCAGCTGCTGAGGACAGCCATGGGGAGGAAGCGCTGGGAGGCAGCGAGCAGCCAGTCGGGACGGTGGCTGAGGAACTCCACTAGCTGGGGGCGGATGCTTGCTACAGCTGCTTCCAGGTTGAGATCGTCGTTCTGGAGTGTGGGCTGGGGGGATGAAAGCTGAAAGGGTAGCGATGGGCATGGAAGCGAGAGATGCTCACCCCGCAGTCCTGCTGTTGAGCAGGATTTGTTCTACCCCCCTGGTCCACCCAGCACTTCTTATCTGCCTTGTGGCAAATCCTAGCCCGGACACAAGGCGGTGCAAGGACTGCTGTGTTTGCCTGCTGCGTTGTGCTGCAATGGACGAGTGCAAACAACATGAGTCAGGCTCTCCAGGTGCAGCCAGGCTCCTCTGCTGTATTGAGGCAGTGACCATCTGCCAAATATAATACCAAAGGCATCTTTTGCATGCAGCAGCTCCTCTAGGGAGGCCTGGAACTCTAAGAGTAAGATACTTCCCACCCCCAAGGGCTCACAGTGCTATTCCTGCTACTCGTTTTGTGGGGATGATCACTACATTTCTGCTTTGGTACAACACCACCAATCTCTTCCACTTCCCTCCAACAACAAAGCCATGCACGCATGTTCTCCTACCTGCATTGCTGTGTAGTCAGCCTCCTTTCAGTTGTTCTAGGTGCAATCCAGCAGTATATGCAAATACGAAGTTGCTTTTTCCTCCATATCCTGCCAAAGAAGTGGTCACCAGTGGCAGAGTTTCAGCACGCAGCAGCACCTCAACACATGGTGCATGCCTGTATGTAGCACCATCACTCAATGTGGATCCCTAGGAGAAACAAGAACAGAGCAGACATGAAGAGCAGAGTAGACATGAAAAGGTACAGGCAGCTACATGGGTGACAGATCTAGAAGCTCTGTCCTTGATCCTGGGCTCAGCTGCGGAGCTCTCCTTCTGCAGGAAAGATTCTGTTGTACAGTACATGGTGGTACTGCACAATAGACAACCGGTGCCATAGTTTTCACTTGAAGGGTCAAAGATCAGTGACTCCTTGATGGATTCCATCTCCATCTCTGTGGAATCATCCCTACCTGGATGATCTCCAGCTCAAACCAGATGTGACCACAAAATCTGGACATCTGAGGATCTGTCACTGATGTGATGAGAACACAGGGCTCAGCCTAGTGCGAGATACAGATGAAGAAGACAGGCTTTACAAGAATATCTCAAGAGACTCATAGCTTCCCTGGTGTCACTGCCTGACCTGAGCTGCTCACCTCACTCAACTTGACTGGTTTCAGCCACTCTGACTGCAAGGAAAGGATGAGGAAAGGGATTAATTACATTCACACACCTCCAAACACAGCAAAACCCTAGCACAAGTGAGGCAGCATTAGGAGCATGCCACTGGGCTGTCCCTAGCACCTTGCTGCCCTAGTCTAATGTCTAAAGCCAGTACTAACTACCACTACCATTACCAACCTCACAAAAAAGTCTGAGAAACACAACCCCCCACTGATTCTCTGTCTTGTATCTGGAGTGGATGATCCCTCCAGGTCCAAGACTACATGTGTTTGGTGTGGGAAAACAGAACAAGTGAAAGAGCTCCAGCTTCAAGCTGCCAACATGGTTTAGCATTGGACTTTGGTTATCTATAGCTGTTGAACCGCAGTGTTTCACCACAACAAATCCTCTCCTTCTACCCTCTGCCTTCTGCATGCAAAAAGCTGGGCTTGAGGGAATGGCCCTAAAACCCAGCAGCAGTGTGTCCTAGGGGGGCTGAATTATGCAGGTGAGAGCAGGACTGGGGGTAGGACAGAGGCCAGTATAGCTCAGCATAAGGACAAAAAGCTGGTAACGCTGCTGAATGGAAGCATCCTCTTAGGTGAAATAGATTGGATGGAATCCTGTTGGGCTGAATAGTTTTCTCATTTGCTCCTCACACTGTTTCTCACACTATTCTTCTGGATAAAATGTCCACCATACAGCTAGGCAAAACACAACGCAGTGGGTGAACAACAGGCTGACAGGTCAGGCTTTAAAGGTTATAATAAGTGGGGTTCCAGTAGCTGACACTGAGTTGGGAGGAGCTGCTGAATCCATCAAGCAGTCACTAATCTTTGACTCTTTAAATGAAAACTATGGCACCAGTTGTCTATTTTGCAGTACCACCATGTACTGTACAACAGAATCTTTCCTGCAGAGCTCCATACCCGGGTTCCCAGCCCAGACCATACTTTCAGGAAGCGTTACACACTAAGTGAGGCAGCTCTGGGGTCCATCAAAAAGGAAATAAAATCCCACTGTACAAATCCCCCCACAGTGCCTTGGCACTCACTATACTAACAAGAACAAAAAGGTTCCTGGTGGAAATGGCAAGAAAACTGGACATAACCAGTGTTCAAATATAAGCTGCCACTCAAACCAAACTGCAGACTAAAAGGGTTTCCTGCACAGCCAACTTCAATTCCAGCAGCCTGAGCAGAGTGCTACTGAATGTCATCATCTGTGTTTTCCTTTCCCCACACAGAGCTCTGCAGACAGCAGTGCTCTGACTTCACTCCTCAGCTGGTTGAGAGCTAAATACTTAATAAGACCATACTGAAAATAATAACACTAACCAGACCTTAGCATCAGTGATGACTGAAGGCCATTCAGGCAAAGAACAGACACACGAATTAACATAAGATTCATTTCAGGGACAAAACAACACTGAAAAGTCTGCTGAAAGCGAAAGCACAACGCCTGCCCAACCACCAGAAAGGATGGGAAGCAGTGAAACGCCTCTGAGCTCTATATAAAGTGCAAACAAAACAACCTGAGAAGGGGAATCAAAGCTTTAAGCCTTGTTCTTCAATTGCAGAAACGCAGCGCAAAAACACACGCCCCCACCTCAGCACGCTCACCTTTCCTTGCCACCAGAGATATAACAGAAGGATGAAGCTCCCTTGCAAATCTGTTGTAAATCTACCTCCTTGCGTGCTCCTGGAGCGTGTGCAGCTCACCCAGAAGTGAAGCAGCAGCAGCAAAAGCCAAAGGAGAAGCTACAGCATAAGGGAGCAGGGAGACAACATCGTCTGTCATGAATTCACGACGTACTGCTTTCTGTTTGGTGCCCTCCGGGACTTTTAGAGAGCAAAAGACAATGCAAAATGAAAGTTAGAACAGCCAGGAATTCCCCCAGCATCAACGCATCTGTGAGTAAGCAAGTCAGATGTGCCACTGCACCCAACAAAAACAACACCATGGAGTTATCCTTTCCCGGAATCCACAGCCAGATGGTGATGGACAAAAAGCATTCGGGGGCTGCTCCAAAGGAACGGGTTTGTGGGTAATTGGGTGGGAGGTGGATGGCTGGACCAGACGACCACAGAGGTCATTTCCAACCTTAACAATTCCATGGTTCTGAGGGCAAATTTCAACCAGAATAACCTCTTTCCTTGGTTTGGTTCAGGCTCTTGCAATAGAAATGTTATTTAAATGCAAAAAGCCTGATTACGCTGGGAGAAAGGGAAATATCGGTTTACTATTTCTGTTGTATCCACGAGAAAAAAGTGACCTTTATTTCCTTTGGAGAAGGAACGGGATTTAAGTGAGAACAGAGTGGGAATGGATGGGCTGAGGAAAGATTGCACTGTGTGTGCAGAGGATCCAGATTCGGCAACGCAGCACACCTGGCCGCTTCAAAGTCCACGCATTGGAAAAAAAGAAAGGTAAAACCAAAACCCAGAGCCAGCAACACCCACAAAGGGTGGATGGGGGTACGGCAGCCTGGAGTGCAGATGGGGGAGCTGAGGAGGCAAGGGGCAGCCGACCCCCATGGGCTGCTCTCCATCCCCACACTACATGCTGTTGGTGTGTCAGTGGGGCCAGAAGGGCAGCCTGGCGGCTCAAAGGGGCCAAACACTCCTCCTGCAAAGTGGTATCCAAAAGCCCCTCGGCTCATACCTCGCTCGGTCACAGAAAGCCACAGCATCTGCCGTTCGCCTTCTCCCTTCAGGCTGGAGCAACCGATGTGGGTAATTTCAGAATGAGCCATCTTGATGCGGCTTCCCTCATGGGAAGGAAGTTTGGCCTCGAGAGCAAAGCTGTGCCCAGCAGCACTTCAAACCTCCATGTGGGACAGCAGGAAGCGATGGTTGGTCACCAGACCTCCATAGGGCCGTGCTGGGCTTCCACAGCCACCTGCCCCACTGCTTTCTGGCCACACACAGCACCTCAGTGAGATGAGGGGATGCAAGTCACGGGGGGACGCGCACACCCCAACGCACAGCCCCAAATGGGGTCTCAGCCATATGCTGTGAGGGGACGCGATGGCCACCAGCCCCCGGTCACCACCAGCCCGAAGCCTTCTGCAGGTGCCAAGCGCAGCTCCTCCGCCCTCAGGGCACAGAGCGCGCAGCCCCGCGCAGGACGGACGGACGGACGGACGGACGGACGGACGAGGACGGTGACCCCGCAGCCTCCCGAGGCACGGGACACCCACCCGCAGCACTCACCTCAGTGTCGGTCCAGCCCGGCTCTCCCCCATCGCGGTACTCACGGTCGCCCCGCCGCGGCTGACCCAAAAGTGAAACCGCGGTTTCTGAGAACCGCTTTGCCGGGAAAGCACGTGGTTCGTGCCGCGCTACCCGGCTCCACGCCAGGAGCCGCGCGAGCCGCGAGGCGCTGCCCTGCCGCTTTCCCGCGCACCGGAGTCCCCTCAGCGCCCGCCGCCATGTTGCGAGGGGTTGCACTGCGCGCCCCGGCGCCCCCAGCTTCAGCAGACGGAGCCGTGCAGACGGGAGGTTTCCCCTCTGCGAGCCAGAGCGGAGGTGGAATGTTGCAGCAGAGCTGCTCCAAGGCAGCCAAATCACACTCCTCAGCTCCCACTGTGCTGTCAGGCAGCTGGTTGAGCCCAGTGCTCCTTCGGCCACGGAGCAAACTACAGTTGGCAAAGGGAGGAGGTTCCTTTTCCACTCTAGTATGGGGCAGAATGAGGAGAATGTCACCCTCTGCCTTTGCTGATGTGATCGTCACTACGTCCTTATGTTTGGCACTTTGAGCAGAGTATGGAATGAACCAATACAGCAAAAGAGCTGAGCCCCTTCGGATAAACAAGGAGGAAGGAATAGGATCCTGCTGCCTGAGCAGATACTTACTCTCATCATCTCCTTGGCTTCCTTATCATTTTTATTACTTCTGTCATATTAGCTCAACAGCACGAGCATGGTTTGCCCGCGGCTCTACATGGTGCTGGGTGTACCCAGGACACAAGGTGTGTGTGCTCACAGACTGCTCTCCAAACTCACGTCTTCAGCCGTACAAGAGATGCCAAAAGATGGGCCAAGCCTCTTTCTGTTAGCTCCCACTGTTAACCCAGCGTCCGCAGCCTTCAAGAATTCAACCCTTACTTGCAAGCTCCTTGGGATCCCCTTTAAAGATCCTGGCATAAAAGCATCAAGGGCTTCGCAAAGACAAGTCTCAGTGGAGATGCAATTGCATGGAAATTGCAGGGCTTCTCAGGAAAACAAAACAGAACTCAGCAGAGGCTGATTCAAACCAACTTGTATTTTGTTTCACACCCAATCTGCTTGTACAAAGAGACCGGTTCTATAACGTTTTCTTGAGGAAGTTAAGCAGCAAATGGTTGGGGAAGCTAAAGTCAAGCTGTACAATTAGGTATCTCTAAAAATGCAGGGGGAAAAAATACATTAGTGTTCTGTGCTATATGTTGGGATTATCGTACTTCCATTAAAGGCTTTGAGAGCCAGGTATTTCTAAACTCTGCTTACCTTTCTTGTGATGATCTCAGGGTTTTTAATCTCAAATAAATGAAGCCCTTTGCTGTTCATCAGTGAGGTTAAAGCTGGTTCGATCTCTACAGAATCAGGAAAACCACCCAGTTATGGTTATGGCCATCCTGGCTTGCTGCTCTCATGTGCTGTGACCTTATCTTGCCCAAAGCTAACTGTGCCTTCAGCCTGGCAGAAACTCCCTTTCCCTTATCCCAGCCATTCACAAAGGTGGTTCTTTCTCCATTGCCCAGCAGAAATTCACACCAGCAACGTGAAAAGTGTAATTCCATCCCCTCTTCCCTTGCCACTACCAAGATGGGGGAGATATCAGCGTACTTCTTCAGCAAATTGGTACAGGAGAACTGATGATAAGTGCTCTGCAGAGTACTTTGGCATTTCTCTGAAGGGAAAACTCACTTGAAATCACTTCTGGGATCCCAACAGCGGAGATCATCTTCTGCAGGAAGTTTCTTACGGGCTGGTCATTCTGAAAGCCAGACAATTCATACAGAAGGGTTGTGAGGTTGTAGTTTAGCAGCAGATGGCCTAGAGAATACTTGCTTAGGACTTACTCCACTTGGATCAGCTGTGCAGTTAAAGACTTTAAACTCTATCCTGAAGGGAAGAAAAAAGGAAGCAAAACAGCAATAGGGGACGAAGAAATCTTCACTGTAGTGCTTTCAGATGGGGGCTCAATGAAGCAGTGGAATACCTAAGGAACTCCAGCACTCACCTGGAATCCAGAGGGCGCAAAATGAGTTTCTTTTCCACATAGGCAGCTTGGACAGTGACCGTGATTTCCTGCACAGAGATGCACAGATGTAACTCTCCTTGCCTTACAGCAGGGAGCTCTTATCTGGATATTCTGGTTTGCTTTCTATAATACAGAGTTTAATGCTTTCTGGCTTCACCTCCAGATATTACCGGCGATCTGGCCAAAGGTCTTGGCAGTCAGGATATGCAAGAACTGACCTTCTCCATGTATAGAACTGTCAAGGGCTCATCTCCCGGGGAAAGGATACTGATCTCCACTGCTACCAACGACTTCACAACTGTCCCTTCGGGCTGGAGAGAGATCTCAGGAAGGGCGAGGCTCCACACCTTGGCCACAGAATCATTATAGGAGTTGCCTTGGAAAATCTGGTCAAATAAGGAACAGAAGTCAGGCTTTTGTCATACTGCTTCCCAATTTCGGACCCACTTCCCATACAGTTTCATTTCCCACATCACAAGAGGCCAACAGCTCTGCTGGTTTCAAGGAATCTGTGTCAACCTGGAGGATGGAGAAATCCTTGAAAAGCACAACAATCTCTCTCTCCTCCAGCCTCTGGTTTCTCCACCAGCCCAACACAAAACTCTTAAGTTGTCCAGGGAAGGACACAAAATGCTCGGAGTAGAACCAAAGTTTACCAAACGCACTGCCTTCTGTTGTGCTTCTGTGTCTTCAAATTCAAACAGCGCCTTCAGAAACAAAGCAGAAACAGGTTGTTAAAGAAATTAAGAGATGCTGGATGTGGCAGAAGATGCACGCGCAGCCTGCAGCCAGAGGCACGGTTCCTCCTGAACCCACCACCCTTCTGAGAACCGCAGAAAAATCACACACCGCTTTACAACCCAGAAGTCAAGTTTTCTGTCAGCTGATGTCCCTCTAAGGGATAGCACCACCTGCTAGTGTGGACTTGTTATGGATGTACCAATTTCTGACCGAGTGCACATGTAATACTGAGGAACCAGCCCTGCAAGTCACCTGCAGCTTCTCCCCTCTGATGGTCAGCACCAGGCGCCCATCTAGGAAAGCTGCCGAAGCCAGGGAGTTGAGGATGTGTTCAGACAACCAGAAGTACAGCATTCGGGATTCGGACAGCAGAGATGGGGAGAAAACAGAGTCGCTGAGGACGTCAGAGTAGTTCTTGTACAGGACGAGGCCCTTGAAAGGAAAGCGACTGTGTTGGCAAGGACATGCAGCAGGGAGACAGGACAAAATGTCAGCAGCTGCATCTGCCAGCAGTGGTGGCAAGGGGAAGGGCTGCTGGACTCAGAGCAAACACCGTGGGCAGGAAACCTTTGGTTTCCGAGGAGCCCGAATTACTTTACCTTGTGGTGTGATTCTAGGTAATTTGCTTTAATTAAAGGATCTGATGCAAGGGAAATATCGAGTCCAATGGCCTCATCTCGGACAAAATTTTCTGCCAGGAGAAAGCACAAAAGCCTTACATTGAAAATACCACCAGCAGCAGAGCTTGCAGCATGCAGCATTAGGACATGCTGCAGAAGGTGACCTGGAAGCTGTAAAAGGAACACGCATTGGGATGGGACAGGGGACTCACTCCTTTGAGTGCTAGTGCTGACCCCAACACTGCTTCTGGCTCTCAGTGGGAACCCATGCATGTTTTTGAGGGACTATTTTAATGGATGTGGTTGCTGTCCTGTTGGGACTCAAATATTAAAGCTGCACGTAAAGGAAACAAGGAGAAAACCGAGGGTGCTTACCTGCGATGTCATGGACAAAATTTGCCATCACCTGGGCAAGGAGATTTATTTCTTTGCACACCTGCAAGAGGAAGGGAGCGCCCTCAGTGTCAGCACCACCTTGTTTTGTGGATTCCTTTTGCTTGCCACTGAAACACGTGGCTATCGTCTTGCAGGCATACTTCTCTCTTGAGCACAAACTTCAAGGTGAAGGAGATGAAATTGGTGAAGAACTGCTTCAGCCAGCCCGGCCTGCAGGGATGGGAGCAGTCAGGGGCAGCCAGGGCCCCACAGCAGGAGCAGTGGCTGAGCAGGGGGACCCTGGATGCAGGGGAACAGACTCACTCCTTGTCTCCTTGGAGGTGCAGCACCAGCTTGTGGAAGGACAGGTAGCAGTCCGAGGCGTCGGCAGCCACCTGCTCCTCCTGGCATACTGCACAAAAGAAGGAGAAAAGTTGACAGCTGGGGACAGCTGTGCCCAGTCTGTGTGTGCAGGGCAGTGGGGAGCACCTCCAGCCCTGCATGCCATCAGATGCCCACAGCCCAGCTCGCCGTTCCCTATGGCTTGTGGCCAACAGCTGATACTTACACAGTTTTATGTTTATCTGGAGGTCGATGGAAGACTCAATTTCAAAATCAACCGAGTGAAAGAGCTGCAGGCTGTAGGAGCAGAAGAGAAGACATTCCACACCAGAGCATGCAGCTGGTCCCAGCCACAAGGCTGCGGCTGCTTGGCCCTCAGGTACTTACAACCAGGCCCCCGCGTAGCCATAAGTCAGGGTCCCTCTGAAGAAGGCTGTCACGTTTTTGATGGCTATATCAATGGCATAGTTCTCCTTGAGCTCCACCTCACTCTGCTCTATGGACAAGTCGCTGACCTGGATGCTAAAAGCAAAGAGAACCCGGTTCGTGGCCAGCCCTCAAAGCTGGGAACACAGCAACATGCTTTGGAAGAACCCCAGCTTCATTTCAGTGCTCCTCTTCAGCAACAGCCACAGCAGGAAATCCACCTGTGCTTGCACCATTGCCTTTATCATCCCCAGACGGTGTCCCATGGGTAGACACCATGAGACCTGCTTTCAGCAGTAACCACTGGGTCAAAGCTCCCTTCCCAGTGTTGTGCTGTTCCCGTGGCATGGAATTGCAGCGGAACTCACTTGGTCAGCGTGTAAGCCACCGTGCCCAGGAGCCGCATGGACCTTTCCCCTGTGATGTTTGGGAATTTGGCGTTCTTGAACGCAGCTTGAATGAGCCGTGCTGTCTCCTGGTTCACTGTCAGTAGAAGAACAAAGATACCAAAGTGCCATCTCCTGGCCGCTAGGTCAGCCTGCACCTGGGATTGCAG